GCTAAGAGTTGAAAGATATATTTTCTGCTTTCATTATGATGCACCAATTTAGTTTGCCCCTCTTTATTCCCAAAAGGATTGTGGGATTTTCTGGAGGTTTTTGCTTTAGGAGGCTTCTAAGTCACAGGAACCTCATGTATATAGGACTTGAGACTTCGCAGCAAACATATTGAGTGGGTAAAAAAAAAAAAAAATGTATTTTCTTACTCTTATTAGCCAGTAAATGCACATGTGAATGGGAACTTCTTAGTGATAAAACGTTCCGATTTAAAGCACAAAACCAAGTCTCAAACTTCTGTTTGCCGCTATATGAATGTATTATTCTTCAGTACTTAGTATTTCAAATAATGGTTTGTCCAGTGTATTTAAAAATATCAAATTTGCCTAAAGCAGTTGCTAAATTGAAAGAAATAGATAAATAACTTTGAGAACAACTGCTTTTTTACAAATACATTGATTTGGTAGGGTATAGAACTTCATACAACATGAATATTAACAAAGTGTATTTTGATTTCACCTTACCATTGCATTTGGCAGACCAAGTTTTAGAAAGTCGAACTGTTCAGTTTGTATGCTGCTTTAGGAGACTTAGGGTATATTATTGGAATTAAAATAACTTTCTTTTTTGGCTCTTTCAGGTTAAAAGCAGGCAACACTTACCCTCCATAAAGGTGTATGAGTGGGTTTTGTGCATAAGCAACAGATAAGCTTTTAAGATTTAGTTAAAGTGTGAAGCAAAATTTTGTGTGACTAAGCAAAGTGATGTGGTAATGTGATAAAATGGCTTGTAGATAACTGTCAGTCTAGTTGCTGTAAATTCATAGTACTTTTAATATTGAATATATATGTGGAATAGAAACTCCAGGGTTCTTCATAGGGAATAAAAGTGCTGTATTTTTTTCTCTATAGTCACCTAAGTAAAGTGGGTATCTCCTCATACCCTCCCTTGACCCAGAAGAAAGTGCAGGTGATGAGTTAGAGGTGTTTCCTTTTGGGATGCTTGGTGCTGCCATTTTGAAGAGATAGAGAAGAAACACTGCCTGCCTTTCCTTCCTCGGGAGCAGTAATTTGAGGGTTTAATTTCCCTGGACAGCAGTTTTCATAAAAATTGACAAAGGCAATAACTTTTCTACAGGTTTAATTGAAATTGGAAAGTCAGTTCAAAACATATGGTGGAAGACGGGAGTGAATGTTACTAAAGTAGGCTGTTAACAGATCCATTTCCTGGGCAGGGACACACACACACCCCCCTCTCCTTTTACTTTGGAATAAGGAGACTTCAGTGTGTGTCATGCAGCAGTATTCATCAGTCCTACGTGCTAGTTCTCTTTGGAGCAGCTGATGTAAATCAGGCAAACAGATTGCAGTGTTACTGAAATTAAAATGTAATCTGGTTGTCATTAAAAAGGATAACTGCCTGATTGTGTTTTATTGTGGTTACTAAGTAAAACAGAAGACTTCTGGATGGAGAGGACTTTATAAAGCCTTAAGGCAAATATTTTGTAACTAAAAATATATAAAATATATTATAACACAATGTGTATAGCTACCTCATATTGGTCTATAAAATCTATTCTGTTTTAAGGTGACATATTGTGCTGAAACAAGCCGCTGATTTTATAGTAGGTTTCATATGTATAATTAGGTCTGGAAAATAGTCTCATGAAAAAGCTTCCAAAAATATCTGGACATGAACAGCAGGTGAAATGCAGATTAAAGTAGTAAAATACATATTAGAATACTAAATGGTTCAGAATGCAATCTTTGAAATTAAAATCTAAAGAGACTCATGGAATGCCTTGTGTAATGGTGCTTCTGGTTTTCAAGGTAGTTTTATAGTAGGCTTAAGTTTCTTATGTGAATTTTGAACATTTGAATCAACCTCCTTGTTCGTACCTGAAATATTTGGAAAATTGATTTTAGTTGTTTGTTAGAGGTGCCACTCAGACTAATGTAAGAATAGCCTCATCAGGCAGTTAGCTAACCTGTATTTGGCAGGCTAAATATTTCATAAGGGTCACTTTCATATGCATGTTATTCTACAGTACAGCAAAACCACATATTCAATATATTTCTTATATTCCTTCCCCTGGCAATTCTCAGCAAGACTCTTAATGTCCTTTTATTTTCCTTTCTGAAAAACTGCCTGTACTTGGCTTGTTTATTAAGCAGTGTGAACTGTAATTCTTCCAAACATGAATGCAGGTATTTAATATTTAACCAATGAATACTGTAACAGAAATCCCTAAACAGGGAATATTTTATAGATGAAAATTTACAATAAGCAGGAAGTATTTTCAAGTATTATTTTATCACCCTTTTATATGGAGCTGAGAGGAAAAGAACATAAAAGGAAGTAAATACTCGGCGTCCTCCAATCAGAAATATATTACATTTAACCACTAGTTGCTAGTATACTAGTATTTATGAAAATTCTGTGTTATGAATAAGAATCATACCTTTAAGAAAATAATGTAACTTTTCTGATAATGTAACTTTTCTGATGTTTCTTGTAAGTGGAATGAAGATGATTGATAAACATCTCATTTAGTATTTGGCAGACCCCTAGGGGGTTCTGCCTTCTGTTCAATAAAGGGATGTTTCTTTAGTGAAGCCATATTTAAACTATGTTAAAATGCATAGAGATATACTGATACTTCATAAATGTGGCATAACTGAACAACATTCACTGCTTTAAGAAATCTGATTTAGTTTTTTCCCCTTTTCCCTTGTTTTTTAAACAAAAGAGTAGCTTTGGCTTAGTAGGCTTGGCCAGTTTCCTTTTGTTACCAGATTCCCCAGAAGAAAACTAAATAAATCCTGTCCATAAGATGATTAAAACCTGATGGGCTGGGCAGATGTTTTCTGTTCTCAGGGGTAAAGAAAGTAGAATAAGGTTCTCTGGCAAGTCTGAAGATGATGGCAGGAGGAAATGTTTTACTTCTAGTTAAATTGCAGTGAAGGCATTTGTGCCTTTCCTAAATACAGTTTGGGGTGTGGTTTGGTTTTGGTGTTGTTTTTTTTTAGTGGGGATGGGAGGGCTCTCAGTCATTGTGCCTTGTGACATCTTGGTGGAGCAAAAAGATGTTCTCTGGTTTTATTTATTAATAGTTGGGGCTGTTCAGCCTGGAGAAGAGAAGGCTGCGTGGAGACCTCAGAGCAGCCTTCCAGTATCTGAAGGGGGCCTATAGGGATGCTGAGGAGGGACTCTTCATTAGGGACTGTAGTGACAGGACAAGGGGTAACGGGCTCAAACTTAAACAGGGAAGTTTTGATTGGATATAAGGAGGAAATTCTTTCCTATTAGGGTGCTGTGAGGCACTGGAATAGGTTGCCCAGGGAGGTTCTGAATGCTCCAACCCTGGCAGTGTTCAAGGCCAGATTGGACAAAGCCTTGGGTGAGTGAGGTGGTTGAGTGTGAGGTGTCCCTGCCCATGGCAGGGGGGTTGGAACTAGGTGATCTTAAGGTCCTTTCCAACCCTGACTATTCTATGATTCTATAATAGTTTGTTCACTCTAACAGTAATATGTAGTGTATTTGTTAAGTGTAAATTTAGGTATTTTTGTAAGTTGTATTTCACTTTTTAGTTCTTTGGTTTTCACTGTAAACTAACTAGAACTTTTCTACATGGAAAGCTATAAGCTTGTCTAAATCTTGGTTCAATTAATTTTCAGTTCTTTTGGTTAATATTTTAATACTTGCCACTGATAAAGCTCTGTCTGAAGTCATGCTTACTCAGAGGCATTCACACGTTGATATAAACTGATTCTTTACCACTGTAGCCTGCTGTCCAGTTGTCATAGTTTCCAGCCAGCTGCTGACCTGGGGGCTGTTTAATAGTTTAGGTTCACAAGTTATCTGCCTTTTTCAGCATCAGATCTTCCTGAATTCCTATCTTGGTTAGGGATTTTGTGAAAAATAGACAAACTTCTCAAACTGTCTTTGCACTCATGCAAATGTTAATCTAAGAACACTACCTGTGTCTGGCTTTGAGGGGACACACACCCCACACCCCCCCTTGCCTATGTCTGAAATGTGAGTCTCTTCTGAGCCCAAGGTAGTCAATGCCCTTGAGGGACTTGATCTTCTGGAAGTTCCTTCCTCCCTTTCTTGTAGCTGCTGAGCTCCCTGGTACAGGATTTGTTTTTAAGGGTTAAAATTTTAAGTTATATTTTTCATTTGTAATTAAACACTTCAGTCTTTCCAGGGTGCAGATGCTACCACCTGAGCATGGGTAGGACCTTAAGTGTCTTCAACAATTGTCTCAAATCTCCTATTAAAGCAAGTGTTTTATAGTTTTACTATTCAGAAATTACCTCTTCCCCATAATACAAAGGATGACGCAATCTAATATGGCAGTATACAAGTGTTCCTTAAGGCTATATCTAGATCAAGGCACTCAAGCAAATTAAAGCAAATTACCGAAATGTATAACATCAACATTCATAAGTTATAATGCATTAAATCGCCATTGGCTGGTGATATGTTCAGGAATAAAATTAGTTTAGTTAGCTGTATTTTAATTTGGTTTACAGTGGGTAAAGGCCAATTTACTCTTGCATTAGAAAATTAATGTGGAGATTTAATGCATTTAAATTAATATGCCTTGACTTCTCACCTTTACTTGAATCTGTATCCACCTTTTGGTCATTGGTTAGCCTGTTATGTTTGGCTGGATCATCATATGCATTTCATGCTTCTCTTGTTGCTGTGGTTCCATTTCTAAGAGTTGGGTGCATGTTCAGTACTAGCTCGCATATGATTACAGATTTGGTCTAAGTCAGAGCCACAAATAAACTATTGCTCTTCAGTCCAGGTAGTAATGGCTAGATTATACAGAAAACTGTGATGGTATTTATTAATAAGCCAATAAAGACTGCATTTTCCAGCATGCAAAGTTTGAGATCTTTTGGATTTCATGTAAATTCAGTACCTTTGACAATTTTCATAATGCAGTTTTTCTGTGCATATATTAAAAAAAAAAAATAAATTGCAGAGGTCTTTTTGACTTCTGGTTTTATTCCAGTCAGCAAACCCAAGAGTAGTTGGTGTTGCCTTAAGTTTTACGTAGTGTGTTTGGGGTCTTTAAGGTAAGAAAGGAACAGGAAATAAAATTGCTGTGAATGTTTAATAGAATGACTATTTATTTTAGGGCATAGTCTCTCCTTTCACACTTTACTTCAATTATCAGTACACAAGGAAAAACATTTCCAGTACTGAAACTAGTCAGTTGAAGCCTACCACTTTAAAATTTGTCCTCTAATTTACTTACATAAGCTGCTATGGGCAGAATTATTTTCCTCTTATAAATTTCGGTGGTGCTTGTCCTGCCTACGTATTTCCCTAGGAATCTGGCTTCCCTTGGTTTTGCGTCTTTTATTGTTCTGTTTAATAGAAAGAGATGTACTATGTAACAGTGTCTCAATTTTTAAAGTTTAGTATTGTGTACAGTAGTTACAAAGTATTTCTAGTTTATATACTCATTTAATGTATTTAGAAGCAGCACAGTAAATTTATTGATAATTTCTACTCCCATACTGCATGTATGGAGAATGTTATAGTCTCAGAATAAAATCTCCTATAGTTGAATCTGTGTAGGTGTATTTGTGTTCTATCCTTTTTTCAGTAAATGGGGAAATTTGGGTAATACTTCTGTGAATTGTTGGATAAATTCTATCAACTGTTTAAGGAGAGAGTATGTGAAATAAAAGGTTCTAATCAACAGTTACCCTTACTGTTGTGTTTTTTTTTTTATAATCTATATTGGTACATTGGCAAACCATGGAAAAAAGTCAGTTTGATTTGGTCTGGTATCATCAGATACCACTTAAGCAAAGACTTGGTCTGCAGTATATGACCAGTGCTCTGATGACATCGAAAGGACTCAAGCTTACTAGTAAACTTTGAAAATGTATGGGAAATAGAGAAACTGTAGTTTGGGACTTTGCTGAAACAAACAGGTTTGTATCATCTCGTCTGAATGGGGTCTTAAAAAAGGAGTTTTTAAGGAGTTAATGTTCACTTGTTTAAAACAAGACCAGTTAGAAATTCCTCTGAGAGAGAATGTTTCTTCATTAGCATGTTCTTGAAGTGTTTGGATGGGGAGGGAGATTACGGGGTTTGTCTAGAAAAATGCTTAGTGCTTCATATTGCATCTTGGAGAGATTCATTTCTAGTGGGTTACTACGTATCTTTTTCATAACTTGAGAAAAGTGTAGCTGTGAAGGGGTAGTTGTCAAAGGGAAATAGGACAGCAGGAAAAGAAAGATTTATTGGCTGTTATAAAATGGATTCCATTTTTTTGACTTCCCAAAGGTCAGGGACAACCTATGAACACAGATTCTTCTGTCTGTATTGGCCGCTGAAATCGATAGAATGCCAAATTTTTTAGTTGGCAGAAGTAGGAGGCAGGTGGTTTTTTTTTTTTCTTGGTTGTTTTTTTTTTTCTCTCCCTATGGTAATGCATCTCTTTGTGATCGTTTTCCACTTCAAGTAACTGACAAAGCCAGTGTAGAATATGTTCAGCAAGTCTGTAAAGCTGGTTTTGCCCAAGAGTCTGGAAGTGTCACAGATAAAAATGGATATTATCCAGCACCTTGCATTATATATCTGGATATGATAAACAATGTGAAGGGCAGCTACTCAACTTTCTGGCATGGTTGAATCAGGCCATCCTTTCAGAGCACAAGCACCGTACAAGTCTGCAATTTATCTTAACAGTAAACTGGATCATAGCTGTATCTGCTGAAATGAATGTATACAGTGAATATTTCTTCTCAGCACTTTAAACAGATGCAAAAGTGCTTTACTGTATCCTAGCTAGAATACAATAGCATGTAATGCTTCCTGCTATTCAGTTCTACATAGGTGGTGAGAAAAAAATATAGGCAAGCAATTAATGCTTACGGTGATCAATTTTGTCATGAATATTCTAGGATTCATTTTAAATCAGGGTGTTATGAATCCAAGTATTAGTATTTAAAGTGCTAATACTCAGAAGTCCAAGAAAACATTGTGATGAGAATTGGGAGGGAAAATGCCCTTTATTCCACATACTTTTATTTTTTTTTCCCCACTAAAAAATTTCAGTTCAAGATGAATAGATATTTTTCTCTTGTGGAACTGGAAGAACAAAAATATTAATATTTGACTGTTCATAAGGAGTCTTATGCCTCAAAAAGGCTCAATTTATGGAATGTGTGCAGAAAATGCTAGAAAAAGTGGGTGTTCATGTGTGTAAGGTTTTTTTGATTACTGGGGGGGGATGGGTAGGGAAGAAATGTAGTTGTATACTTTATTCTGGCTTTTCCATTCTCCTCTGCTGGCATGAATTTTGGAAAATAACTCATTCAAACTTCCACTAATAGAAAATAAGGAAATCATGGAAGACAAAAAGTTCAAAAATTGTTGAGTGACCCAGGCAGTGCATTTTGTAAATGAAAATGGTAGATTATATTTTGCTCAGGCACGAAGTCCCTAGATTATTGGCAAAAGGCTGTCACTCCTTTATTAACTGAGGTAAGTTGGATATCTTGTTTGCAGCATCCATTTCTCAACTGAATTTTGATCAGAAAGAAAATCATACCTTTGCTGGATGTAGCATGCAAACTTGCCTACTTGTAAGAAAGTGAAAACTCACAGCTGATAGTATGAAGTAGTAACTGACTTTTAAATATGAATGAATTACGCTTTTTTTTTTTTTTTGTAAAGCAAAATAAAGTGACTATCATTCTTCTTCTTTATAACTCCCGAAATGGATAACCCATCTCAAATATGGTAAAATGATAGAAGTATTTGGCAGCATCAACTTTCAAAAATTGTTTCAGATTTGAAAGACTGAATTTTCTCATTACATTGATGGCAGCATTATTGAAAACACTTCTGTGGAAGATATGTTTATGTAGGAACTCTGTGGTTTATGTGGGTTTATTGGGTTTTCCTTGTTTGGGATTTTTATTTTGTTTTTTTTTATTTTTGATTTTGTGGTTTTTTTTTTATTTTTGGTTTTGTGGGGTTGTTTTGTTTTTTTTGGGGGGGGTTGGTTTTGTGTTGGGTTTTTTTGGGGGGTTCTTATTTTTTTGGTTTGGATTAGGTGTGTGTTTTTTGGTTTTGTCTTTTTCCTTTTTTTTTTCCTTCGGTATGGCTCAATATGCTTACAGCATAAGCTTTGTGATTAGCTTTTTAAAGAATAGATGTGTTTGTTGTCCCCTTAGTTATGTATGATACTTTTATTTTGGAGTTTTAAGTAACATTAAGAGTACCTCTGAATTGTAATCTTGTTTCTTGAAACTATGGGGACATAAAAATGTTGTTACCTGTTTCTACATTAAAAACTATCAATGATATAGTAATACTTTAAAATATTCAGACATGATATAATGGGAAATGGGTTGTTCTCTTGATTCAGAAGTTAATTGCATTGAATTTTTTTGTCTACAAAAATCAATGCCTAGGTGGACTTTAGAGGAATGCCTGTAATGCAAATGCCAGGCTTTTTAAGTGGCAGTCGTAAATTTTTGAGTAGTCCAGAGATAGTGTTTCCTAGTATTGGATTTTTGTTTTATCATATTCATCAACCTATATGTCATGGCACAATAGATTTAAATTATGGCATACTAGAATATTTTTGCATACTGTGACATAGGAATCCTGAATGAAGCTTAGGATCTGTCTCTTAGTCTCAAAACAGTTCTTAGACCTCACCTTGCTGAAACGCAGGATACGTTAAATTTTCAGTAAAGTCAGTGACCAAGAATTTTGTTTTTCTTGGTGACTTGTTTGGTAGACTGTTAACAAATGATTTCTTGTGGCAGTTGTTTTCTCTTGTTTTAAACTTTGAGCTTACAGAGACGTGGGAACGCTTGGCCTTTCCACACAAAAAGATGTGGGGTTGTGGTTTTCAAGAGCGGAGGCATTCCGTCTTTTTCTGATGTCATGGATGAGGTTTTTTTAATCCACAACTTCAGAAAGTGTTAACAGGGAAAGAACTTGGAATATTTAACTTTTTAAGGACTTTTTCATGTTGGAAAGATTAATGTCTCAGATCCTTGCAAGCATGGCTATTTCTTCTAGTCTGAGTTTTGTCATCTTCGTGAATTTTAGACCTTCAAGGGTTTCGCACTGTTCTCGGTTTATTCATCTTTTTTTCAGTTGATTTAATTGCAAGACAATATCAAAGCTGGTATCCTTAAAATGTTAGGATGAGAAATACGCTTCACACGCTTTGCTTTCTAATGAGGTAAAGAAAAGGAGACTTCTCCATTATGCCCATACTGAGCATCTGGGAGAGCAGAGTGAGTGTTTCACCAAATATTCATGTTAAACAGTTGAGATGTAATTTAGTATTACATAAAGCTAAATGGGTTAAAAGGGAATGAATGCACTTGTTCTGATACACTTGTCCTCAGAGGCATAGAATCATAGAATAGTTAGGTTTGGAAAGGACCTTAAGATCATCAAGTTCTTCAATACACTTTGGCCTTCAGTGAGGTGAAGCAGCTTGCAGTGTTTTCTTATTTTAAAAAGTGTGCATTGGTTACATACTGATAAAATTGGTAGAAAAACACTGGTTTCCCCCACCTCTACCTCTCTTGGACAAATGATACCTGGGAGATAGCAATTCAGTTCACTCTTCAGAAAGCATATTCTACTCTCAGGCCTTCCCAGGCAAAAGAAAGCCCTTTGAGAAAGATGCCATCAAAGATTTTAGCAGTCTTGACTTCTCCATCCTGTACACCGACTGTGCACAACTTAAGCATTCAAATGGAGACCTCTGAAAGTATATAAAGCTGTAAGCCATGAATGCTCTCTGTGCCAGAGGGACTTTGTTTTACTTTCAGAGGAGTATTTCAAGGTTACTGTCTTGATCAGAACATTTTGACCACAAACATAGTCTTGAGAAAAGTGAAGGTAATGTTTCGTACCCTGTGGTTTGAGTTATACAGCAGTTAGCTCATGAATGAAAATGCATCATTACTATCATCCAGTTAGTGTTATCATGAAAACTGTCAGATTTAAATGCTTAAGAGAGCTCTTGTAACTGTTGCCATAGTAATATCAGAATAGAAAAGTGGTAGTTTTCATCCATATCCCATGTTCAGCTACATTCCTTAGCAGTCGTTTAACTGTAAAAGGAAGGTACCATATTGCACCAGACTAGATTTCTTTTGAGTTAACCAGGGACAAATCAAGACTGGAATTAACTCCTTATTCAAAAATGCAGTGATTTTATTCCTAGATACAAGCAATCTAGTTTGCTTTTGGTTTGCTGGTATGCTGACAGTCCTATATGTAAAATACTCTGGAGTTACTGACCTGCTATTTGTGTCATCATGTCTTGTAATTACTTTGGTTCAGGCCATAACGAAAAACAATGCACACAAACTGAAACTTTTGTTCGAAGAATTTATTTTCTCCAGAAGGGGAAAAGTTTGAATGCTTACTACTAGAAATTGAGATCCTGCTTTCTCATTTGGTCTCACTTTGAATGCTTTCCCTTTTCACTGAGCCTGCCTTATGTTATTTTACTTTTTTAACCTGTGTGGTGTTGATCAGCTGCTGTGTTTTCAGTTCCACTCTTCTGTTTTCTGAAATGACAGAGCTTTGTTAACTGACCTGCTGTAAGAAGTTGTTCTCCACAGCCCTCCCTCAGCCTCCCGCCCCAGAAAGCCTTGGGTACAAAGCAAAAACAATGTTCTCTCCTCTGACCTACATTTTCACAGTACAGCACTGCATAGTTGGTGGTGCAGCTTCCCTGCCTCCCCCTTTCCCCCGTGCTCCCCTCCCAGAGTGGCTAAGTGTTGAAAAGCAGAGCTGGAGAAGGGAAGCAAGACTGGATGAGCTAGAGATACAATTTGTGGTAATACAGCAAGTGCTGTGTCTATTATGTATGATCTGCAGTCTGAAGTTGTTGTGGTCAGAAAGTGTGAGACTGCTTGCCTCTCGAATTGCATGCTGTTTTGGAAGAACAAGCTGAAATTAAAATGACAGTAATGCTCTTAAAATTTGCTAAGTGCAGTTATCATAGTTAATTGAGTAATTGTCCAATATTTATTTGTGTTATTTGACAGCATAAAATAGGGATTGAAAAATGGGGTTTGAAATTGGCAAAATATATGAACAACTACTGATGGCTTTGCTCATTAGTTACAAGCCTATTCTTGCTAATAGCACAAATGAAAGAAGCGGTAGCTTCTATATTAGCATCTTCCCTCTCTCGTTCATCTCCTTCTAAGAAGTTTTCACGCATTGCAATGAGTATTCATTCAGGACAGAAGATTTTTTTTTTTTTTTTTGCACTGTGGGATTATGTGGGTATTTTAGATTGAAGTATGATTGGGAATTGTATTAATGTGTTTCAGTAAAGTTAGTAGGGATGGGGGGGGCGGGTGCAGAATAAAATGATGGTGTCTAGGTGCTTCCCTTCCCTCCAGTGCCTGATTTACCATGGAATTTGGGACAGTTAATGAATGCTTAGCAAGTTAATCTAGTCTGAAAATATTTTGTAAATATGGACTGACACATTTTATATTACTACATTGCAAAGAAAAGCAAAGTACTATTCTAGTAAGGTTAACCTGAAACCCAGGCTGTCTCGTCTCGTCTAGATCACTGCCATCATACAATTTTAAATTTATGGGACATAAAAATAATTTATAACATTTAAGTGAAGAACTTAATGACATTGGATTTTCCCTCAGACCAACCACTGAGGCTTAGAAATACCTTTAGCTGTTATTTTTTTCAGAGTAGAACAGATCGTGAACTTTACCCATGAAAAAATCTGTCTGTGGCTGGAAATAGGATCAGTTCTATTACTCCAGAACCTTTAGCTGTGCATTTTCCATGCTCAAATCCACTGATACAATCTGCAAATAACCCAAGCCACTGATGTAACTGGAGATGTGAAAGGAACAATTCTTTTGTTGGTGAGCAAGGACTTCATTTTGGTCATCTAGTATCAATGTGTAAGTCTTTTTTTTAATTGAAAGTTAAATAAATAGGGTAACATTACGGAATTCCTGTTTCTTATTTTTCTCACAATGCTTGACTTTTCTAAGATTTTTTTTTTTTTCATTGCCATAATAATGGTGCCAGTGACACTGCATTTTTTTCTGTAAGAAGTTGTGAGTCAGTATGGCTTTTTAAATTTGTTTTGAATCTGAAGAAGACACACAGAGAAGTAAAAACATTTAAAGCAAATATAATACGGACTTCTATACTTTTTTTTTTTTTAAACTGCTTTGCAGGTATGTTAGGTGTTTAGATACAAGCTTGTGTCTTATTTCTAACAAAAATGAATATAATAAATAATGATTGCGCTATTTTTAACTTGGAACAGTTTTTATATTCTACTAGAGTGAGCAAATAGCTTAAGCACAAGACGGAAAACAGTAAAAACATTCAGAGAATGTAATGTGGATCTTTCATTCCATAATTGCATATTTCATCATACAGCTGTCCCTCTTACTTCTGAAAGCTTTGTAACAAACTGCAGGAAAACAGTACTTGGCTATGAATGATTTAAGTAGCCTTGATAATGATTTGTATATAGAGTAGTTCCAACATATGGCCAAACATAAATACAAATGTTAAAAAAAATATTGGACCCTTAAAAGGGCATTATTTTTTTTGTTGTTTTCTTTAATGTCTTATACTCCTCACTAGTATTTTTGCTATCAAGAGGTTTGATAAACTGAACTCCTATCATAATTCTGCCAAGCTTGGGCAGATGGGCATCATGCATGAGCTCCAAAGTGGAGTACTCGAGAGGTTGTTTGGCTGCCAAACTATGATTCAAGTGCCAAACTGTTTAAGGTTTAGTTATTAACATCTTGGACTATACCCAATATACAGGATTTTGAACTATCCAGAGTTGGTAAAATCCAAGTAGAGTGCATTATAGTCTAGCTTGGAAGTGCTGAAGGCAGGGAACAGCATTGAAGCCCTCTCCAAGAGGCTGAGCTGTGTTCTTGGCCAGCAGTACTTGGGGAGAAGCCACTTACGGGATTGTACATCTTCCAGAACTGAATGCCGTTAAGTAGTAGCTGGCTCTCAGGACTCACTCTAGTTGTCTAAAACTAGCATTATTGTGTAAAGCTTGCATATCGTTAACTTCATCCAGGTGGCTTTCAGTTGGGATATTAACTGTGGCCTGTGTTTGCTGGAAGGAAGCAGGCAGACTGAGGGTGAAGAAAACAATAAATATGTGTTGAAAGAACACTCCCAAAGCCTTTTTCTAATGCTCTGTCTCTCAGTAACACCAACAGCCATCGCATAAACTAAGTAGAGGCACTTTCAATTTAGCTGGAGTAATCTCTTATGCAGAGCGCTGCTATTTTGATGCACATTTACTTTCCCCAGAAATAGACACACCTACAATTTGCAATATCTTGGAAATGCACAAATGTATAATTATCATACCTAAAATACAACGCATGACAGAATTTGATGGATGATGACCAACAAAAATGCTGATGAGCAAATTCCCATACACATCTTCAATAGGAGCTCCTGGAATTTCTTCAGAGAGCTAGTCCAGTGCAGTGTAGCCTCTTCATGTGTGTATGTTTCTGCATACAGACAGGTTTCGGGCCCCTGGGAATGGTTTGTCTTTTCATTACAAAAAAACCCTCAACAAAACAACTGCTCTGATCTCATGGTATGAAAACTAAGCTTTAGGAACTAGGGAACACTAGATAAGTCAAGTAATTATAAAGTTAGGAATTGTTTTCTTCCTGAGCAACATTCCCATAAAAAGTGAAGTCTGAAGACCATAAATATAATCAATTTTATTAAATAATAAAAGTACATCAAATATTTGTTTTTTATCCAATTAAAAAGTCCCAGTCAAACAGAGAACTAATCACAGTTCTATTATCTGTTGCTAAATCAGAGATGGGTATTGCTTACCCTGGCACTGTGACAAACAGTAATAACCTGAATCTGATATAACTCTGTTGTAACTCCATTGGAAAATAACTTTTAAAAGTTCTGTTTGTTAGAAAACTGGAAACCTGTAAATAGATTTAACCTACTTCTCACAATTTATTTTCAGTGGTACATGTTGCTTTAGGTTTTAAAATCGCCTAGATTTTTGTTTTGCCCGTACTGCTGTCTGGAACTCTCAATCTTACCATGCCATAGTCTTCCCTATCTGTGAAGTAAGGCATGTGCCTTAATTTTCTCTGTCAGATGTATTTTCACTTGACTGATCTTTCCTGTTTTGGGGGTGAGGGCAGGGCAGGCAGGAAAGATCAAAATCAACAAACATTTGGTTGGTTTTCTACCTTTTTCCACAAAATGGAATATTTTTGAGACTGCAGTGAAAGACCTGAAGTTCTGTTTTGCATTTCTCATCAGCTTTTGCGTTACCTTGAAGTTGTGCAAAGAAATGAACACCAGATTCAATAAATTTGCATGAAGATGCCAAGATGAGTTTTACTTGGCACCAGGTTTTAGGAGCTCACCCTGTGACTTTTAGAGAATTAAATAACTTTAATCAGATCTTTCAGGAGAATTTGGTTGAATCTAGAGTTGAATCTGAACACCACGAACATTTCTGAAGGTGAGGTACAAAGGTGGCAGTTTTCTAAACACTGATTTTATTTATTCCTCTTTCCTGTCCAAAACAAGCAATCTTCCCAAAACTGGACTGACTTTAAGGGAGTACTTTCTTAGTGCTTTAGAGTTCATTGGTAGTGTCTTACAAAATTGTAAATGTCACATTGATAAATAAATTATACATTTAAAAAGTGTATAATAATTTTAATGTGTTATTTGAAGGTAAAACTGATCTGCCCTTTGTACATTTCCTTAGTTTTAAGTTTTTCATTTTATAACCATTCTAGATAACAAGAAATCATTCCATTAAAGAGAATGAGATCTATGAATGCATTTTTTTTAAATAAAATTTTAGCATGGAAAATATGCTCAATCATATTTTATTGGCACGTAAATCAGCAGTTGTACCACCAAAGTGTGCATGCTTATTGTTGCACATTAACACAAAGGTCTTTATATACCATCTTCATTTTTCCTCAATTTTGCTGGGAAAACCTTTTGGTTATAGTTTCATAGTATTAGGTTATCAAGAGCTATACTTTTTTAACTTAAAAAAATAATTTTCAGACTCCACTATGTGATGGGGATCAACTAAAGGCTGTCCCATTAAGCTCATCCATTTTCACTGTACATGCTTTCAGCAGTATTTACAAATTGCACATGGAGTACACCTGACAGAGGGAGTGTTGTCCTTCTAGTGCAGTTTACGATGGCGATACCTGCCTGCTTTTTCTTTCGCTGCATTGGCGCAGGCATTGTGCTTATTTTGTTGTAAGTGGTTCCAGTATTTGATCAGTTCACTAGGTTGGAACTGATGGGAGGTAATTAGGTGGCTATATTTACAGCTGGAGTAAGAAACTCGCCAGTGATTGAAGACAAACTCATTGGGTGGAGGCATAGGGTCAATTCGCAGCTTGGCAAGACAGATCCCCACATATACATCCTCTAAATGTAAACGTCTGATGCTTAAGGAGACTTTAAAGATTTTTTCTGCTAAATCTCCAGAGAAAACATAACCAGTTCCAGAGCAGAATACAGGATAACGTTCACTTGGATACAAATCAGGTGGCATATACCACTTACTATCCTTGTTCCTATTAGGTGCATAACCTCTCATTAAATAACCTGTAAAATACTTGTGCCTTGGAGGAAGTTCTGGTTTCAGAAGCTTATGTATTAAATACTCGGTATTGACAAACATATCGCTGTCAGTTTTCATAACATATGGAACATGTGGACAGTAAGATGCAACCCAGTTCATTCCCATCAGAGTTTTAATGGTTAAATTATAGTAGGTGTCTAAGTATTCTTGTTGAATGATATCGTGGTACTGTCTACTTTCCTCTAGTATAGTACGCTGGAGGTATCCATTTACCTTGATGCTTAAGCCCAGCAAAAAAATACGAACAATTTGGATGCCAGGGGTGAGGCTTTCGTTACCCCAGGTTTGTCGAATAGCTTGTCTAGCTTCCACCTGGCCTGGCTCTGCAGCAATGAGCAATATTAGAAAAGGGGTCTTCTCCTGGCACTTCTCAGGCTCATTTATGATGTATTTGAAATGGTAGGAAGTTGAATGCCCAGTACCTTTCTTGTTGTATATACTTCCATTGGCACTGAGGGTATTTTCCAAACCAGTTACTCCTTGCAGCAACAGATCAGTGTTGTTGGAGTTGGTGACAGTTTGAGGCCTGAGCGTCTGAGGTATGGCATCTTTCCACATGTTCCTTAGAGAGCTGTGGTTTGTCTCGATTTTTGTAGATCTAAATCCTCGTATAGTGTAAGCCATGGGGTTTTCTTTGAATCCAGCCCTGCCTGGCAGCCAGTCGTGATGATTAAAGAACAGAAACATAGCGAAAAGAAATACAAGAGAGATCAGGCCAATGAGATGGGTGCGAAATAGAGACCTTTTGGTATTCCAGGTCATCTTTGCAAAGCAGCAGTGTCGTCTTCTCCACTGAAGCATGTTGTAAAAATCCAGTGATGGGATATGAGACAATGGCCAAGCAAAATGCTTTTCTGATCCTGTTTGAATCCACTGCTATTCTTTGGTATTCATCTTCTTTTGTTCCTGGTGAGTAATTGTCTGCAAATGGCTCACGCTGCAAAGATTAAAAAAATAAAATATCAGAGATCTTTAATTTTATACACTCCTGAAAGATTGCAGTGAGAACCTAGTTAGAAAATTGAGTTAAACTCTTGAAAAAACAGACCATGTAAATAAAACCAAGGTTCAATTTAGGTTGAAGGTAAACCTTGGTTATGATTTAAGTAGATTTACTAGCTTTTGATATTTTTTCATGGTAAAAATTTTGACAAATATCTGGGGTACCAAAGATAAAAAGGGGGGGGGTCCCCCTTTTTAAGCTGAAAAAGGTTGAAGTACACGTAAATAGCTTCATGTGTACTGGCTGTGAAATCCTTGTACAGTGTTTGAAAAGGGCTGAATGAAAAGGCCTTGATAGCAAATGGAAGGTTTATTGGCATTAATTAAAATTGATTTTTACCACGCAGAGGCTGGTACAGCTCACAGTTTAAAAACCCATTTTGTAAAATGGTCATGTATTGGTGGTGGGACAGACGGCGCAAGGTTGATTATGGCAGAGTTGTGTTAGTCACAGTACACCACTTGGAGTGTTTCCACCGGCTCCGACTGTGTTCAGAAAGTCAATGAGAAGATGCACCTGTCAAAATTAATTTTCAGGGTCCAATAACCTCACTGCACAACCCTCAGATGGTAATGCAGGATAACATTTTCTGTCACCTTTCAGGCACCTTTAACCTTCTACTGCACATTGAAAGAAAATATTGAATGGAACACTTGGCTGTTGTGCCAGCCTCAGATGCAGCTGAATTAAAATGAAACTGTAGGTAGAGATCTTCGGTAAACATTCATATTAACTGAAAATGAAATTGCACAGCACTAAGTTTCTGGCAGACTATCTGATGAACATGATTTTTAGTTTGGGTTTTGTTTTCAGGTTTTATTTTGTCCGTCTATAAATGTGTATGTAACTACCATGCTTGTGGGATCATATGGATATTTCAAGTGTTGTTACCAGCAGCTGAAACTGTAGGAGAAAGTGCCAAAATAGCATGTGCTTCATTTTCTCTTAATTTTTTTCTTTTCATATTCAAGAGCAGAGTCAATATGGCAGCTTCATGATGCTGCGTATTAAAAGCTGATCACATCATCTCATTAATGAACCTTTCACTGCACGGTAGCAATTCGTTTGTGATTTTCATTTTGCTTTAATTTATTTCTGGGCCCTAGGGTTTTGTATAGGAGGAAGGATGACAGTTGAACAAGAGTCCACAGAAAATGCTTTTTCTCATAAAAATGTGTAATTTATTAATTGCTTTGCTATCTTCTAAAACCAATATTAGGATTAATTTCTACATTTAAAAAAAAATGACATGCTATGTGGGAATTTACAGGATTTTACATTGTAAAGAAGTAATTTAAGGTGAGATGGCAGTTGAATAATATAGTACAAAATTATATGTGATGTAACGTTCAGTCTGCCTGGCTCACGTAGGGGAAAATTTGTATCTGAAAAGGGTAGTGAAAGATGTATAACTAGGGTTTGTTTTAATTACTGTATGTTAGTTTGTATATAAACAAATTAACGTGTTCGCAGAAGGTGCCTCATTGACAGGATTTGGAAGCAAGGGAAAGTAGTATACTTCCCTGACTCAGAATTCTTTCATACTGACTTCCACTAGGAGGAGCAAGTAAGTGCGGATTTTAACGGCGGTTTATGACAGTGTATACGTATCTAAAAAGGCGACACTGCCTTAATTCTCCTTCTGAAACAGCAGATATTTGCCTATTAAGCGTTTTCCCGTCATTGTTCTGTTACACAGCAGTCCTGAATTTTGGTTTTAAGCTCACTGAAAGTATTGCTGATTTTTTATTTTATTTTTTTTATTATGGTTTCTTTTTTGAACTTCTCGGGACAGATGCCACTTACCAGAGACTGAGCTGCATTTCTAAAAATTACTTTCCAGTGTACAGCTGTTAAACATGTGTAGCTTGAGCACTAACCTAACATTCCACACAACTCTTTTTTTAAGCTGCTTTGACTTGGACATTATCCGTATGTAAAAGAAATTAAGTCCCAAATGTAAAAGACTTTATTTGACCACTTGAACCTGCATTTGCATACTCAGAAAATTAAAGTTTGCTGTCAAAACTAATAATTTTGAGTTTCTCTGCAGTGTGCAGTGAGTTTTAAATGAGCATTCAGCTATTTAGGAAGAATTATTTCTGCATAAGCAAACACAAAAGCCACTTCAAAGGGTACCCTAGATCTCAAGGAAATTAATTGGTTTTATACCAGTTTGGAAGACAACAGTAGGAATATTTGAGTAATTATTTCATTGCATGCATGTGCAGTTTAGGAAAAAACTAAAATCCAGAATTTCACAAATGTGGAATAGCAGCTGGAATTCAGATTATTTTTGTCACACTGAATTGTTCCACTTCTAAGTCTCCACTACGCTACTCATCTGTGTTTAATTTTTAATAGAGGCACTGTTTTGGTGTGCACCTACTTTCATACACTTATGTAAATATTTGTGTAAACTGAAAACTAATTTCAGGTGCTGTCTTTCCATGATGCACTGAAGAAGTGTCTCAGAAAAGCCAGTTGTAATTGCTGAAATACTTTTTTTTTCTTTTTTTTTTTTTTTTAAAGAAGCATGCTCATGTTGTGCACATTAAAATAAGTTTTACAGTGAGAAACAGCTGGAATCATAAGAAATTTAGAGAGAGTCGGGTCTCATGTATTTCCTTGATTTTTCAAGGTGGGAGCTTCATGGAAAATCTTCAGTATCTGTTTGCCCTTAAAAAAGGCATTGTATGGGTAGGGGAAGGACCTACATCTATTCCTCAGCTTCATAAAAAGTATTGACTAAAAAAAAAAAACCACCAAAAAAAACCCTTAGTTTTCTTTTTAATAATTCAGGTGTGAAACATTTCAAAATATACAGCAGGTCTGAGGTGTTTGAAACACATCAACAGCTATGTGAAACCTTTGAAAACATAGTACATGCTAGGATGCATTGTTCTAAAATAATGTAAATAACTGTCAATATAAAAAGCACCATCAAATAATACCATAAAAATATTACTCTCTTGCACTACTTAGGGTTAGAGCATTATTGCTTTTGCCCAAATCTTTAAAATTTAATTTCACAGCAAGCTTATGAACAGGCACCAACCGTTGGCAGTAGATAAGAAAACCTAAGTATAGCAGAAGGTCTCTACACAATTACCTTGTCCTCTGAAAGTGTGCTGTTGCATGCAACTCTGCAGTTTGAAGATATGATTTATAGTAGTTATACTTCATTTTTGGCACTTGACTGTGCAGTCAGTGATGCATTATCAAACGCCAAATATATAAACTCTGAATGCCTCTTGAATTTTTATTTGCGGTCTGTGCTCTGCTGGTGTTTTGGTTCCTGGTACTTTGAATTCTGCTCTATAATTATAGCTTTGCAGATTGAAGCATTTGACTTCCTATTCACACGTCCTGGATTTTCATATTTTGATTAGCTGTGTGGGCAAACTCTTTAATTAGAGAGAAGAGTTCAGAAGGCAGCCGGAGTCAGTATTTTGATAAACAGCAGCAGTTGTATATTAAGCCTCACATAATGTGCCTGAGTTTACTTACAGACTGCATTAATCTTTTGCACAAAACAGTACTTGGGGTAGGGTTTGATGTGCAAGTTTTTAAACATCAGATGAGAAAGTTGCACCAGTGGCTGAGCATGCTTCTCCAGCAGTATTACCTATGGTGAGAATTTTTTTTTTTTTGTTTGCTTTACAAGTTCTGGAAAGTGACTTGATTTTCTAAATGTCTTAAAAGTGATGTGAAACCAGTGACTGTTGTGTGCTGCATCCTTAGGTATGTGAACTATTTCCAGTTGCAGTTGTTCTACTGCATGTTACCATTGCCTTGGGCAAAGAAAGCACATCTAATGATTTATTATAACTTATTGATAGATTCTGCAGGTAAGCACTTTGTGGTGTATTAAATTGCTATAGATTTAGGTCTTGAATTTGTATTGCAAATATTCATCGTGTTTGTTTGCCAGCAGTGAAAAAGTATTTAGATTTCAACAATAAATAGAAAAGAACAGCAATTAGATGGAATGTAATTTTATAATCCAAGTCAAACAGTCGGTGTTTTCATGTTAAACAGAAACTGTAATGATGGCAAGATACAAGTTACGTGCTCACCATTTTGAGAATATAGTGTTTGAAGGTTTCCTTTTGGGATGCCAGGGGAGCTTGATGTTATTTGTAAAATGTGGTGCCTGATTGCACTGCCGATGGTTTAAATCATTTCCAGTCTTTTCCATGCTCCCACTTTGTGCTTGGCCAATATTAGCCTGATTCCATTTTGCTTATGTTGGGGGGGGGGGGCTGGTGAGTGTGGAAATCAAGTGTAAAAAGGTCTGAAGGTACTTTTAAGATAATGAAATTTGACTGCATTGTCTGTTTTGATGGTTCAGTGCTCTCTGTATGTCACATCATGGCCATTTTACCAGTGCTTTAAGATTACTTCAGATAAGGATTAATTCTGACCTAGTTTGAAGGGATTTCTAACTGTTTTTTCTATATTGGAGGGGTTTGAGTTTTTAATTTCTCAGTTAAAAGCAATCATTACAGTAGCTACATTATCCCTCTAATCCCTCCTCTCTAGCCACACCAGCCTTGTGCAGATCGTAAGCTGTGCATTTAGTAAGTGTAGGGTAGTGACATTGTGCTGTGGGAGAGGAAAACCTGCTAGCATTCTTTCTCCCTGTTCAGAGATGTGTTATCTCAGGGCTCTGCAAATTAGGAGTGATTGTTATCTGCAATGGCTGAAAAGGTAACAGACAATCAAATGAATATCACATACAAGGATTTGACATACCTTCCTTGGTCAGGCCATTTATGGTGAGAGGATTATACCCACAGAAAATAGTTTTGGCACGCCATCACTTCAGCAAAAAAGATGCTATCGAACATGCGCCCATCCCCCAACAGTCTGTTTCCTGCGATTGCTTTTCACAGTATCCAGTCTGTCCATCTGTCTGCCCGTTGCTGTGTTACCTTCCTTGTTCATAAGTGTTGTCCTTGTCTTGGAGCTTTTTGTTCATCCTTCAAACAAAAGGACAGTAGTTCTCGTCTTTGTTCCTATCGGGGCTCTCCGGCGTTCACAGCCAATGTGCTGGAGATTTTACATCTGGTGTTTCCCTTTTCGGACAATGCAGTGCTGTGTTCTCTTCTGCTCAGTATCCATATTTCTAATCGTAATATTAGCAGGGAGTGCTAGTGCGTAGTGCTTCAGTCGCCTTCAGCAGTAGGATTTCCCTCTGTTCCTTCCTTCATTGTTGCTAGGCAGTAATAGAAACGATTTTGAGCTGTTTTAACTGAGGATTCTGGTCTATAAAATCCGTTCCGTAGTTCTTCAGCTGCTGCACAGGCAGGCAGCAGTTTAAATGTGGACTTTGACAGATGCTGTCTTCTGACAGAGCAGAATTTAACGTCATTGCTTGGCTGAATCCCACGTGATTGTTTGCATTCATTTTGACTAAATCCAAAGGCAGACAGAAAGCTTTACAGGCTCTTGCTGCTATTTGGTAAATGATACAGACTCAGTTCAAGCGCAATGATAGGTGAATAGTATAAAAATTATATGATTATTAGATGAATGATTGAGGGTTTTTTCAGATTGTTTTCACTTTTCCTTGACACTGTAATTTATGAATCTCTAGGGGATTTTTAATGCTAGATGTGCTGTTCCTCTATTCTAAAAGCTGTTCTCCAGTGCAAAGGAATTATAAGCGTTTAAATACCGAAGCTTGATTTAACCCATTTGGCTCTATATTCAAGTATAAATCTTCTGTGCTTTCATGACAAAGAAAAAATAAAAATGTATAGTTTTACTTCCTTTACACATGCTTGTTCTGTAAAAGCTGCTTTTTAATCTTAGGTTAGTCAATTAAGATGGACAGCACTGATGCATAAGCACATGATGTTAAGTTGCTTTTCTGCTGTTAATGGCTTTCTTCCTGGTAAAGGTCGAAGACTGGTATTGCAGAATTGGAGGCACTTGATTTCAATTATTGATGGATCTAAATGTCTTTTGTCTGTTACAGACATACTGATATTATGGAATTCGTCTTTTTGGTCCTAATGAAACTTATGTTCCTTCAATTTCTGTCCTTTCAATGACTGAACCTTCTATGCTGAAGCATCTTATGTTACAAATAAAATATAATTATAAATTAAATAGTTCGGAAAATAGACAGCTAGTAGCATGCTTACCCCGGTATTTATTAGTCATTGTGTTTGTCCACTCTATTTTGAAAAGTTAATGACTAACTTTAGAATGCTTTTTGGGTTGTTGGGGGGGGGGTGGAGGGATGTGATTTGCAGTTTTTTTGTTTGTGTTTTGGTTTGGGTGGGTGTTATTGTGGTGGGTTTGTTTTTTCTGGGGTGTGGGCTTTTCCTTGATTTTTTGGCAGGGTTTTTTGGGTTTTGTTCTTTTGCTAGTTTTTGCCTTTTATTTTGGCTTGTTTTGTTTTTGTTTTATTGGGGTTTATTTGTAAGGGGGTTTGTTGTTTGTTTGTTTTAGGGCTTTTTTTGTTCGGTTGGTTTTTGTTGGTTGTTGGGGGGGGTGGGGTTGTTTTTTTGGGGGGGTGTTGTTTTTTTTTTTGTTTGTGGTTTGTTTTTTTTTTATGCCAAAGGATAAAGAGAATGTAATTGGTCTATCATAAGGTATCTCTGATGAGTAGGCTCAGGGTAAGTATGTCTTTTACTGGCAAATAAGGCTTCCCCAGGCAGTCAATGTGTTTTATTATTCTAGATGCATATTCCGATAATTTACTAGAAACATGATCAGATTTCTATCCTTCTAACAAATTCATCAATGTACACTACTAATCTTTTCTGTTAATTTACTCTTGTTTTTTTTTTACTATGCTTTTCTTATTCTAATGGCAGCTTCCACAAATACTGTAATCCTGTTTGAGGACATTGGAGGAGCATGAGCATATTCTCTAGATATTAGTTATAAATATAACATGCATATCAGCAAAGACTTGTATCTCCTCCACTCTAAAAATATTGGTATTTCTAAAAGGAGGGGGAGGGTGCGTCAGCAAGAGACAACAGACCTGGGTCCAGACCACTTACTGTTCTGGGATGCTGATGAATAATTGAGAATTGGTGTTCTGAAAGGTTGCATGTGTGCTCAGTCTACTGAATTTTCCACTTAAACACACAGACTCTCTTATCCTTGCCCCATATAATATACAGAACTTTATGTAATCTTTTCTGTATGTATAAAAACATGTGGCAAGAGTTTGGCTAGGCGTATTACTGCAGTGTGGAGTACAGGGGTGGGGAGTTGAGTGAGATAGTTCATTTATCACTACTGATTTACATAGAAGCAAATAGTGGTTTTTCAAATATTCATTTTAGAATTTTCAGATAAGACACATAACATTGTATTTGGGAAACAGGTCTAAATCTCAGCAAAATGATTGCTGAAATCTTTAGTGTTTCAACTCTTATTTCTTTACTTCTTTTTCACTAAACCTAAAGTGTATCACCGAAGGTTTGAGCTACACGTAGTATGTTTACATAATGGGTTGGACAGAGCTGGTTTTATTGTTCTGTAATTGCTCAGTAGTAAATATTACAGGTACAAAAATCCAAAGGTCCTTTTTCTTTTCTAAATAGACTATTTATTGTTGGAAGGCAATAGGCATCAGCTTTTGGCTTTTAATTATGTGCATAGCTTGTGAAGTTCAGGCAGAGCTGTTGCCTGGTGATACCTGTAAAATTTGTCATCTTGCCATGTGAACAAATTGAATATTGAATTCTTAAACCTTAATGAACAGTTTCTATTGTTCGTTGATTCATTCCTTTTAAAAGATGAGCAGGTCTTACAGAAAAGTAAGGAAAAGCTTTGATTTTTATACTACTTTCTATCTGGGTGTGCCTGATGTATCTTAGAGTCTAAGTTTCAGGAAGAAATTCCTTTTAAAGTGCTTTTTTTCTTTACTGCTTTTATATGGTAACTGTATGTTCCTAGGTATTTCAGGAGGGCAGAGCATGCTTTGTACTGGAAATATGACCTGAATGTTTTAGTAATCTTGCTGGGCCGGAGGTTGGAATGAGCTTTAGTTCGGCTAACTCTCACTGTGAAGGGTCAGTGGACTGCTTGTTCTTGATCCAGGGAGTATTATGTGCTGTAATGTTACTATGGTTACATCTTAAATTAGAAGCTACAATGTTAGTGTTTGAAATGCTGCCATCTATTAAGACTAAGAAGGAGTTACTCTGATGTGAAGATGTGCAGCCTTTGTGTAAGGAACACTACAGAGTTACTGTGGCCAGTGAAAACTTGACTGTTCAGCAAGTTAGGCAAAGCTAGAAGCAGATGCAAGGAGTAGCAAAAGATGGCTGTGTAGAATAACCTGTGCGTATAACTACTGTGAGCAAAGCAAAATATACTTACGTAAAACAAAGGTGTTTAAGTTTGGAATATGCAAAAGAATAAGGAAAAAAAAACAACCTAAACCCCAAACAAATAAAAAACCAAACAGCCCTTCCTACATGTCGCTGTCATTTTGAGAGGGTATCAGCAGAATCTTGTCTAACTGGTTTTAAAGTAAATCTTCACAACATTGACAGAAGTTTCTCAGTTGTTGCAGTGGTCAGGTGTATTGGTAATTTTCTGCCTGGTGGCCACAAGTCCTAGGAAAGTTAAATGGAATATGTACAGCATAGGTGACCTGTCAACTGAATGCTCCCAAATGGACTATGCTTTCTTGGGTACTCCATGGATACTTTGCAAAGTTTATTCCGTTTTGTTGTAGTAACATGTAGCATTAGTTCACCTGCAGTATGCTGAAAACCATTCAAGTAAAAGTTCAAAGTGATTAATGGTAACATTTTCAAGATTGGTTGGTTTTGCTTTTAAACGATTTATTTTTTTTTTTTTCCTTGTGGAAATGTGTTAATACAGAATGTCATAAAAACTTAGTTTTCATTTTCTGTGTTAGGATTTACTATACATATAGCCAGTAGTCATCCTCTTTGCTTCAAAAGGAACACTTCTCCAATAAGTCATTCAGAGTTGAGAAGACAGAGTTATGAAGTATCTGTAACTTGCTTGGCTATTTTGTGATCCCAGTGTATTTCTTAACTTATGTTTGTAACTGAATGAAAAAAATAGCAATCTAGAAATGACCACAAGTGTCAGTATTGCCTGCCTTATTTTCCTTAGTAGATTTTTCACTATTGCTTAGGTAGTTTCTGAAATCCAGCTTACACTTATTGCATTCTTTATAAATGGTCAAGATTTTGAGCTCTGTTCTAATTGCATCCAAGCCATAAACTTAGTGATTTAATTAATTTTTGAATGACTTTATACATTAATATAGAACAATCTGAAATGGTGATGGAAGTAAAAAAGTTTTACTTAATGTCGTGGTTTAAACCTAGCCAGACAGCTCGTTCACTCACTCCCAGTGAGTGGTGCCGGGCTGGAAGCAATTGAGGCCCGTGTGCCCCCCCCCCCCCCCCGGGGATCTCCCCTTCCCCGCTCCCAGAGAAATGGGGAGGAGGATCGAAAGAGTGCAACTCCCACGGGTTGAGACAAGAACAGTCCAGCAACCAATGTACAACACAAATCACCACCGCTGCCACCAACGACAACAATGATAAGGGAAAATAACAAGGGGAGAGAATACAATACCACCGGCCAAGAAACGAGTCTGGCACAGAACACCCCGTGTCTTTCTGGGTAACTCCCAGTTACCCCCCACCCCGGGCATGACGTGCTGTAGTATGGAATACCTCCTTGGCTACTTTGGGTCAGGTGTACTGTCTCTGCTTCCTCCCGGCTTCGCCTCCTCCCTGGCAGAGCATGAGCCTCACAAAGTCATTGGTCAGGGTAAACATTACTTAGCAACAACTGAAAACATGGGTATTATCAGCACTGTTCCCAGGCCGAAAGTGAAAACACAGCGCTGCATCAGCTACCAAGAAGGAGAAAAATTGACTGCTACTGCTGAACCCAGGACAGTTATTCTGAAGCATGCTTTTTTTTTTTTTTTTTGCTAATGAGTAGTGGATAATTGTTATCTCATTCAGTAACATATATAAGCACATCCCCTGACTTTGAAAAGTTGTGAGAGAGAAAAACGACCCAAGTGATGTTTTCAAGTGAGGGTGCTTCTTATTCCGTCTGCCTGAGGAAACATTTTAAGGGGATACATCATAATTCTAAAACTTGTGGGGTTTTTGCTAAATAAACTGACGGTATCCAACTGGAATTCAGTCCATTCTGCTATCACAGCTTCCTTTGAGAAACACAGGTTTGGAGTGCTTCAAAATTTACTTGAAAAGTCAAAATACAAAATGGCTTCAGTCCACTCTATTTCCATTCTGGTTTTGTGTTAGGCAAATTTTGCATATTGGACTATAGTCCAGATGCATTTCCTTCTTTCCTCAATATTGTGGTGTTTGTTTTATTGTAACTTCTTTTCTGTATTCTGTTTTTTCATGTCTTCCCCCAGGCTTTGCATCCAATTATT